AAAAAAAATGAAGGGGCATAAAAGTGCATTTATCACATTTTTCTTAGAACAATTAGCTAAACTGTCTTATTTATCATTATTTTAGGTCAGAGGTTCTCAACCTGGGGGTCGTGACCCCTTTGGGGGTCGAACGGCCATTTCACAGGGGTCGCCAAAGCCCTCTCTCGCCCCCCCCCACACCTTCACTCACCCTCACCCTCTGCCTCTGTTGGATCGCCGTTCGCCGTTTGCTTACCCCACCCACTCCCAATCTATTGCTGAGTCCCAGCTGATGGCTAGAGGGAAACAAACCATTTAAATTCTTGCCACGGGGCTTCAAAGGGCCGCCCTACAGCTGATCATTAAAAGAAAACAAATGAGAAGACCGGTGCCTACAAAAATAGGAAAAAAAACCAGCCCCTTTCAGCTTCAGCATAGGTTAATTACCATAAGTTGATTTGATCAGCCTCCGGACTCTCAGCTGATTTGCTCTCAGCTGTTTTGCAGAGGGCTCTGTTGCTAGCTGCAAAGAGAGGAGCAGATTTTTTTCCCCCCCTAGCTATGCTGAAAAAACAAAACTGAAAGTAAAGCAAGGTCTTTGTTGCAACGTGACAAAATGAGGCAGAGAGAGATTTCTTTTTCTTTTTCCTCACCAAAAAAGGTAGGTGCAAAACTGCAAACAATGGGAAATTTAGGGCAAAAGAGGAGGTTCAAGATTTTAAAACACAAAAGAAAAAAAGCTCTATTTAACTAGGGAATTGTAATAATTGAGATACTATTAATTGTATGTTGTGTTGAAAGCAGAAATGGTTAAGTTGTGGTTTGGAGGAATATATGAGGGAAATTATTTGGTTTATTATTATTGGTAAATATAATTAATTGATTTGTAAGAAATTGGATTGCATGGAAATAATTGGAATATTCATGTTCATATTGATTGATATACAGAAAAGATAGTTATATAACTAATTGATTTATATTAAAATGTTGAATTTGTATTAAACAACTGTATTACATAATTACATAATTAACCAATGTGAGGATGGATATAAAAATAGATGACAATGGGAAGGAGTGTAATATAGGATAGAAGGGAAAAATTGAATTTGATTAAGATTAGAGATGAGGATGAAGGGTAATATTGGTTTTTTTAAAAAATAGATGAGGAATAAATATGGCAAAAAGAAAATATAGAAATTGTAAATTTCTACCTCCCGGAATACGGCTGATTCCGGATCTCCGCACTTTCCGTAAGGCCCTGAAGACGTTTTTATTTCAGCAAGCCGGCCTGGCCTGAATAGATTTTAGGGGTTTTTTAATTGTATTGCTAGGGGTTTTAAATTGGGGCGGCCGTTTAATTTAATTTATTTTTAATTCTTTTAACTTTTATATTGTATGTTATTTTAATTCTCGGCTGTTCACCGCCCTGAGTCCCTTCAGGGAGAAGAGCGGGATATAAATTAAATTAAATTAAATAAATAAATAAATAAATAAATAAATAAATAAATAATTGAAATGACTAAACACTGGTTAAATTTATGAACCGGCCAAATACTCTGTTCAAAGAAAATACATTGTATGTTTGTATGTGTGTTTCTAATTATTGTTATTTATTCATATTTGTTCTCTTTTATTCTTTAAAGTTTAACAATTCATTCTTTATCTTAATATCTTTATATTTGTTTGGGGTTGGTTTTCTTCCCTTTCATCTTTTTTATTGTAAAGCAATCTTTCTCCTCAAACCTACCACCTCTCTCCTTTCTTTCCTTCTTACTTTCTCTTCCCCCCACTCTTCTTCTCCTTCTACTTCCTCTTCCTTTCTCCTTCTCCTCCTCTCTTCCTCCCTCTCTTACCCTCACTCCTACTCTAATTTCCCTTCCCTTCCTTCATCCCTCTCTATTGCTGTATCCTTTTATGCATATGGACTACTCAGAGGGCTGAAAAAGTTATTTTTGACTGGTCCTCGCACTTTTGACCAGTCCTCGAACTTACGACTGTCCTCATATTTTACGTTTTTGCCCTATCTTGTCACCATGGTGAAGAGAAGCAGTTGTGAAATGAGTGACCCGGTTGTTAAGAATGCTACAATGGGCATGATGACCAGTCATAAGTGCGAAGACCGGTCAAAAGTGTGAGGACCTGTCAGAAATCACTTTTTTCAGCCCTCTGGGTAGTCCTTTTGTGCACATGGACTACTCAGAGGGCTGAAAAAGTTATTTTTGACTGGTCCTTGCACTTTTGACCAGTCCTCGAACTTACGACTGTCCTCACATTTTATGTTTTTGCCCTATCTTGTCACCATGATGAAGAGAAGCAGTTGTGAAATGAGTGACACGGTTGTTAAGAATGCTACAATGGGCATAAATGATGACCAGTCATAAGTGCGAAGACCGGTCAAAAGTGCGAGGACCAGTCAGAAATCACTTTTTTCAGCTCTCTGGGTAGTCCTTTTGTGCATATGGACTACTCAGAGGGCTGAAAAAGTTATTTTTGACTGGTCCTTGCACTTTTGACCAGTCCTCGAACTTACGACTGTCCTCACATTTTACGTTTTTGCACTATCTTGTCACCATGATGAAGAGAAGCAGTTGTGAAATGACTGACACCGTTGTTAAGAATGCCGCAATGGGCATAAATGTGAGGATGGTCATAAGTGCGAGGACCGGTCAAAAGTGCAAGGATCTGTCAGAAATGACTTTTTTCAGCCTTCTGAGTAGTCTCTATACACATAGCCATGGCCACCCGGTCACATGACCAGCTAGCCACGCCCACCCAGTCACATGACCTCCAAGCCACACCCACAAAATAAGCCACGCCCACAGAACTGCTAGTAAAAAAATTTAGAACCCACCCTTGGTTGGGGGTCACCACAACATGAGGAACTGTATTAATGGGTCGCGGCATTAGGAAGGTTGAGAACCACTGTTTTAGGTAGTAAAACCTCATTATTCAGGTTAAATTGCTGTGTTGCCACTTTGCAATAAATAGGTGGGTTTTGGGTTGCAGCTTGGGCACTTGGTCTCTAAAAGGTTCACCATCACTGGTCTAGGCCATCTAACCACTGAAGCACAGCATCATTTATATGAAAATAAAATCAAATACTGAATCAGTATATGAAAACAGTAAAGAAATAAAGATTTTCTAGTTTTCTTGGTCCTACTACACAGGTTTGGTAGAGCAATCAAGCCAGGGGTGGGTTCCACTTACCTTTACTACCAGTTCACAACGGGACCGCAATTTTGCTTAATATTGAAAATGCTATCTTCTGGAACCTTAGTCACATCCTTAATATATTTTAAAGGTTTCAATTATGTCCCCCCCTTTGCCTTCTGTCTTCCAGGCTGCACATATTCAGTTCCTCCAATTTCTCCTGATATGTTTTGTCTTTCAGACCTGGCACTAATTTGATGCCTGTTTCTGGACCCACTCAACCATACACACACAAGATATCTCCAGAACTAAACAAAGAATTCCAAATGGGATCTGATTAAACCCCTATAAAGTGGGATTATGTCCTCTTCTTGAAGCTAACCCACCTTCTTTTACACCCAAGCAGGCAAGAATAGATATCTCATTTGCTGTTTCCTTTTTTAATTCATCCAAAGTTGTTATCTTCTCTGCATGTTCCTTTCTTAGCTTTTCTACATGAGTCATCTTCTGCAATCAGTACTTCGTCTTCTTTTTCTGAAGCTTGTATGCGCTGGGAAAATTGGATGCTTCGGTACCTGTACCCCGAGAACGTGGATTTTGGCGATCATGAGGATATATCCGAAGAACCAAATCTTCCTTTCTTATGTATAGCACAGGGTGAAGTATTGTATATGTTGTTTGTAATGTTATTTTAATAAAAAAATATAAAATTAATAAAAAAAATGAAGTAGTCATGTAGTCCTATAATCAGTTTAGAGTATTGACCCTTATAGCCCAAGATTTCTGTATTAGAGCTGTGTTGGAGCAGTGGTTAGAGCACTATTGCAGGCTACTTCTGCTGATTGCTGACTGCGAGCAGTTTGGCAGTTCGAATCTCAGCAGCTCAAGGTTGACTCAGCCTTCCATCCTTCTGAGGTTGGTAAAATGAGGACCCAGATTGTTGGGGGCAATATGCTGACTGTATAAACTGCTTACAGGGGACTGTATGCTTAATAGAATAACAGAGTTGGAAGGGACCTTGGAGGTCTTCTAGTCCAACCCATTCCTGCTTAGGCAGGAATACCTATACCATTTCAGACAAACGGTTATCCAATCTCTTCTTAAAAACTTCCAGTGTTGGAGCATTTACAACTTCTGGAGGCAAGTTGTTCTACTGATTAATTGTTCTGTCAGGAAATTTCTCCTTAGTTCTAAGTTGCTTCTCTCCTTGATTAGTTTCCACCCATTGCTTTTTGTCTTGTCCTTGGGTACTTTGGAAAATAGCTTGACTCCCTCTTCTTTGTTGGCAGCCCCTGAGATATTGGAACACTGCTATCTTCTTTATTTATTGATTAGACCTTGGACCATATCAAAGTGAAGAGTTCCAGAAACAAATTATTACTAAAATTTGATAAAAGCAATTTAAAATGGAATTGGAATAAAATACAATAATTTGAGATATAGACGGAACACTGTTATCATGTCACTCCTAGTCCTTCTTTTCATCAAACTAGACATACCCAATTCCAGCAACAGTTCTTTATATGTTTTAGCCTCCAGTCCCCTAATCATCTTTCTTGCTCTTCTCTGCACTCTTTTTTAGAGTCTGTAAAGAAATGTGAAGTAGTATACAATACTAAGTGCTACTGCTATTAGCTTAACTGCTTTAGCTGCTTAAAAACTCTAAATTATTCATTATGTTGAAAAGTCTTAGGTCTTATCTGACCAGTATGATTTTGATTAGAATTGTGAGTCATTGTATAAACCATGAATGTTTTATGATTTTCATTGATTAGGATAATCAATTGGGATTTGGAGATAAATTGAATTATGTTCAATATTCCAAGAATGTCTTTCAATGACTTTCAGACACAGAAGAGCACATACAATCATTTGTAAATCCAGATTATTTTAATAAGAATAATTGTTTGAAATTAATTGTTTGTTAATTCAAATCAACAAGGATTTTTCTCATGTTTTTAAAGCTTCTATATAATCCAGATTCCATCAGGCATTTATGTAGAAGATGATGGTTTTTCCATGTCATGATCAGAAGCCTTCCCCTTAGCTGTTGGAAAAACGGTTGGAAATATTTTAAAATATATTGATATGATGCAATCATTCTTTTTTTTATAATGCAGATATACCTACAAAATATCATACAATGCAATCTTGTTACTTTGTTTCTATGAATGAATCTAAAAACTCCTAATCCATCAGGGCTGGTTTATGAAGTCGCTTTATTCCTTTTTCTGCAGCGTCAAGTTCACTTGTTAAATATTATGGCACATTGTCCCTCCATTCCACTCATAGTTTTATATGGGCAGTAAAGAGGCAATATGGGTCTCCATAGACCATTTTGCTTCCAGTTTTAATGTAATGGAAGTCCATATTCTCATCATTTTTCTTCTTCCTGCAAATGCTTCCTTTTCTTATCATAGTATCATTCCTATTAAATCATGCCAGCAATAGCTGAAAATATTTCAGATTTCCTTTCCAATCATCAATGTTTCAAGTACATTGAAACACTGAAACCATTGTCACAGTGCTTCATTTCAGAGGCAATTTCTCATGGGGTGAGAAATAGGTGTATATTGTATGTCTGTGCGTATGTGTATGTCTCTCTCTATGTGTGTGTTTGTTTGATTCTCAGTGAGATTCATCTTTAGAGTCAGAAAGCAAAGGACTTGATGATGGGGAGTGGAGGAATAATCAGTCCCAAGTCTAAAAATCCTGGGAATATTGTCATCCTGTTAAGAGTTGCCCAAAACCACATTTGTGGCATCCCAGCCAAAGAGGCACTCACTCATTCAGTGAAGTTATCTAAATTGAAGAGGCCTTCACAAGTTCAATGTCTGATGCAACAGGATTTAAATCTGCATGGAAGGCAATGCTCATCTGGTGGACACACAAAGGCTTGCTTAGTGTAGTCCGATAGATGCTTCTGTTACATGGATTTTGCAGAGGCTAATCCAAGAAAGTTGAGTTTATTTTAGCCACTTGCTTGGTGAATTTGATACTGAAGAGGTATATGTTTCTGATGAGAATGTACATAGACATAACATGGAAAAATTTGTCTGATCCTAATTATGAGACAAAATGAAATAAATGCTATGAATATTTCAGTTTCTGCACCTTACGTTTGGCAGCAAGGCTCATTGACGTGACAAAGTCCTATCTTCTTTTCAGAGGCAGCACATTGCTTTCTGCAAACTCCTTTACTTTTAAGGCATGCTCTTGAATCCATTATCCTGTCAGCTTCCCCTGGAGAAGGAAGAGAAGGACAAGCTGATCATACCCTTTTCAAAATTTGTAGATCTGAATTCCTAGGAAAAATGTAGTTACTAAAATGTATTGTTTTAGGAAGAACACTTATAGAAATAGCTCCTTAGTAAAAAATAAATAAATAATATAAGATATTATTTTTCCAGACAATATTTTAACTAGAATCTTATATTCTTTACATGAAGTTTAAGAAGTTTGGTTATTTATTTACTTTCTGGTTTAAAATATTTGAGTATTACTTCCCAGTCTTGAAAAAGTATACAGAAAACTTCCAAGAATATAGTAGATTAAAGCCACCAACCCTAGAATATTGAATAAAGCATGCAAAATAAAGTATCTAATTTCTTGTTTAGCTTGGTAGGTCTATTTGGATTAAATAAATGTTTATTTCTGAAGTGCCTGATTTCCACAAGAATAATAGTATAAAAGTTTCATCATAATTGACTTACCCAGATCAGAAAGAACCACAAAGGTGATGAAAAGGAGGACACACCAAGCCTTCATAGTTATGGCAAGTTCAAAGCAACTGCTTAAGTCTTCTCTAGTCCAGTCACCAAAAGTAGCCTAGAAGATATGTTCCATTCCGCCTTTTAAATCATCATCATGGGATGTACCTTTAATTACAAATGTAAATATTAATGACATGAAGACAGAGGAACAATTGGATTGGTTGTTTCTATCTCTGTATCTTGAAGTTAATTGGAAGAGGTGGTATTTTCCTTAAATGGCCAGTCTCCACAACTAGAGATGCTTATTGGCTTATTTCTGCTGTTAAAAAAAAGAGTGGTTTAATAGCCAAGTAAATCTTTTACCTGATAATATCCATAAACCAGCTGTTAATTATCCTGGATAAAGATTTTCTGATTACCTTTCTGATCAGGATATCTATCATGACCAGGATATTTCCAAATTGGATTATGGTATCCATTGTAGGGGAGTTTCCACTGAAGAGTATTTCCATTCTTTAGTTTATTAATAAGATCTCTGGAAAACTGACTGTTGAAACTGACTGCGGTATAAAGAGGAAAGAAATCAACATATTGGCTTCTTTTTCATTGATGTGCATAAAATACTGATGCTTAAGATTTCAAAGTCTTAAACAATTATTTTTTAAATACAGCCAGAATTGCTCACAGTTGTGTTTATAAATTACTCTAACTGTTCTCTTGTATGTGGCGAAGGGAAAAAAAATTAATTTGACCAGCTCTCATCTGTTACTTTTTGGTTCTAAAATCACTATGAATTCCCTTCCCTTTCCCCTTTTGTATGAGGAACATGGCTTCATTAATTCTTTTTCATTATGGGAGGTGGAAGATAGTAAGATGGTTGGTGCCAAGGAAAGATGTCTCTTTCCTTGGCACCATACAGTACCTCATTCCTGCCCATGTCTCTGTAGCTTTTATTAAACATGACCCCTTTTTCTTCCATGCCATTTCAACACTAAGAACCACATATAAGAATGGTTTCTGTTACTGAAATGAGCATCTTTATTAACAATAATGGTGAAAAGATATTATTGGCATTTATCTTTGCCAGTACATATGTTTTCTCATAAAGGATGTTTTATGTGAAATTGAAATCATTTCATGATGTCTTTGCTGCCCGCTGCCCATGAGATCTATTCACTTTTATATATTTGGAAAACATAAGAGAAAAACAACTGTATTATATAAAAGCATGAGAGGGTGGTGTGCAATTTAGTTTATTTACATTTTGCATGGAAAGACTGATAGAATGATGTCTGATGCTCCAGGACTTCCATTCAAGGACATCCATAGGAGAGAAGAAGAGGTGGGAATTTTATGAAACATGCATTACTCATCTGCAATGCAAACTTAGAGAGTAAGGAAGCTTCTGACATGATATAGGTTTTGTTGATTTGCTGAAAACTTGTACCTACCTGTAGTACCTTAATATGGGACATTGTAAGGATGTATTTTGTCCTCTGCCACTGTGAGGATATACTAAGTGGTCCCAGTCTTCCCTGCTTATACTCTGTATTTAACTGTAGTAGAGAACTGAAGATGATTACAGATCATCTTGAGAAAAAACTGTGAGGAATTGGAGTAGACACACTGTAGCATTCAAACATCTCCCAAGTATACTGTCTATATTGGTTTCATGCTTTCAGGTATAAAATGAGAACATGACCAAGAAAGTGTTTTTTTTGTATTGTAACAATTTATTAGAATCACTTATTACTTATCATAAAAGGCAAAGTCAACATTATGGGCTTCCGAATATCCATGGCTAGGAAGATAGAGAAGAATTGTCTGTTTTGTTTCTGAAAATCTTTTGGCTCCTTTTGGAAAAGGGCTATTAGATCACCATCGCCTTTAATCTGATGCAACAGAGCAATTCTATATTTTCATTTATTCATTCTGAAGTACCAAGCAGCTAAATAAACTTAATGGTTTATGGTTATGGTTTTGGAAGGATCTGAAACACTACAGATGGTAATAATCCGGAAAGAACAATGTGAGCATCCATAAACCTTGAACAGTAAGATCTAGAATAGAAGTAGTTCCTTTATACTTCTTTTATACATAAAAATGCAATTATTATTGTATATTTCTCAGAATTATCATTCAAATGAACAACAGTTCCATACAACTCACTCTACGAGGAGAAATTTTGATAAGAATTTGATAAAATAAATTTGATAAATTTGATAAAATAAATAAATAAACGTAACACTCCTATCTAGTCCTTCTTTACTCTAGACTAGCCAAACCCAAATCCTGCAACTGTTCTTCATATGGTTTAATCTCCAGGCTTTTAATCATTTTAGGTGCTCTTCTTTGGAGTTTTTCCAAAGTCTATGTCTTTTTTGTAATTTGTTGACCAAAACTAGACACAGTATTTCAGGTATGCTTCATGTGATTTTCCTCAGATCCTTTGCTGATGAGAACAGATGCTTCATGTGGTTTTGATTCTATGCTTCTGTTTATACAACCAAGGATTGTATTAGCATTTTGGGCTGCTTCTGCACACAGCTGTCTTTTAAGTGATCGTCCACTAGGATTTCAAGATCTCTCTCATAGTTACTGTTTTTGAGCCAGGTTTTGCCTAATCTGTACTTGTACCTTTGATTTTTCCTGCCCAGGTGTAAAACCTGGCTTTTCTCCACATTAAATTTTATTTTGTTGGAGGGGGCCCAAATTCAAGTATGTCAAGATCTTTTTGGATCCTGAGCTTGTCTTCTGGGGTGATGGCTATTCCTGTCATCTTAGTGTCATCTACAAATTTGATGAGTTCCTCTTCTATTCCCTCATCTAAGTCATTTATCAAGATATTGAAGAATTCTGCCCTAAGATGGAATCTTCTGGTACCCCACTGCTTACTTCCCTCCATGTAGATGTAGTACCATTAAGGACTACAGGTAATCCCCCACTTATGACAGTTCACTTAGAAACCATTCAGAGTTACGCCCTAACTCCACCCAAGTATTTACTACATAGTCCTGAAATTACAAATGTTGCAGCACCGTTCACACTTACAAATGACCGCAGAGGCTCTGCAACATTCACCCTGCCTATTCTCCCCCATTCCCTGCCGGGTCTCTACAGTCACGAGGCCTTTGGATATTCTTCTTGCAAAGATCCAGGCAGCCTTTTGTTTTCTGGCCTCTTTGTGCTTCGCTTTGCTCCTGCTCCTTGGGCATTACACCACAACAATTTTTGAATCTAGAACTCTCCAATTGGATATCTTAAAGAATGTATTTAAAAGATCTGGGACATATTACTGCTGTGGAACTGAAATTTCCATGAAGTTATTGGAGGGAAGGCCTGAAGCACCGAAGCCTTCCCTCCATTAGCAAAGACTTTTGCCGTATTTGCAAAAACCCTTTGCCATTGAGAACAGAGGATGGGAGAGGTGCGTCCGTCCCTCCAGGCCTCCATTCTCCTTGGCAAAGGGCTCCTCAAGCCATTTGCCAATGATAACATAGCCCCCATTTCTCCTGCCTCTATTCTTGTCAGCAAAGTCCTCCTCAGGTCCTTTGCTGATGAGAACGGTGGCCCAGAGTGATACATGTGGCCGACTGGGCCTCTGTTCTCATCAGCAAAGGATCTGAGGAAAATGGGGGGGGGTGTCTAGAGGGCCCATCTCCCCACTCCACCCACAAAACACACTCATAACAATCACATTCACAGTTCCCTCACCCCACTGCTCTCAAATCCTAGTCTATCATAGGCTGTTGCTATAAAACCATTATTTCCTAATAATTTCAAATTAAGTAATGGAATTACATTGGAAATTGGTGAATCCTTGAAGACTGCTGGATAATATTGATGACTAAGTTCCTTAAATAGACATTATTCATTAGGATACTGGAAACATTTTCTGGGACACAACTGGAAACTCACAGCAGTTTAACAAGCACAGTTGCTTCCTTTTCTTTGCTGAGTCCTCTTCAAAATAATTGTGTTTTTCCTTAAACCCATCAACAGCTTAGCTTTTAAAATACACAAACAATTGATTTGTTTGCTTTAAGGATTTAAGAGATTATTCCAGTTGTACTCATCCACAGAAATGTTTAGAAAGGAAAAACAATTGAAATTAGCAGGTTTTCTGTTTCCCCTTCCCTTCTGCAAAAGACCAGATGGTTTCCTGAGTGCTGGGTGTGAAGGGGCACAGTGGATCAGCTATTTCTTTGCTTTTGCTTTTTTATTTTAAGGAGTAGGACGATTGAAGGATTTTCTGTTGTTCCAAGAACATCTCCTTTAGCATTTCATTTCTATTTATGCTAAAGGAGGCTTCTAATGCAATGCTGACTCACCTCCATTCCAGTCACTGATTTAGCAGGAAACTGTGCTTTACAGTCCCAGAAAAATAAATCTATTTATAACATGGATAGGCTGCCCTTGGTTGCCCCTCACTGATATCAAGGTCCTCATAAATTTCATGCAGAAATTAAGGCTTGATGCATTTCCAAATTGCCTCTTCGACATATTGCTCATATCTGTGGCAAATTGGACAACAGCACATAAATATAGTATACAGGAAAGAGGATAGTGGAAGGTGTACAATTTATTTTATTTCCTTATAGTCTAGAATGGTTAGGACTGAAATCCTGTTTTTGTTCAGGATTTGCAGCATATTGAGTAAAATATTTATATCCTTCTTATACTCTTCTATTGGTCAGCTAGAGGAAGAGCTCTTATTGGTTCAAGGTCTTCCCAGTTTTCTGCATTCTGAAGTTTTTTGTTTTTTTTTAAAATTTGATTTATATGCCGCCCTTCTCCGAAGACTCAGGGCGAAGTTAAGTCAAAGTTGGTGATATATTTCACTCAGAAACTTTTTTTCCCCAAGGATGTGATTGGAAGATTGTGGCATGGAAACCTTCTCAGAAAACATATCCGAGTCATATAGGCTGTAGCTGATAATTTCAGGCAGCATCCAAAATGTTTATCATCTCCTCAGTGATCTGCTTGTCTAATAGCCCATCCAAACTGGTTCAGCATAAAAGCTAAATGGAGCATATAGGCACATAGGCTTCTGAACATGAATGGTTAGGAGAAGAGTAATTGTCCCCACCCATTCCACAGTTCATATAT